CCAAGTGACTTCAGCCACTCTTTGTATGGCTTTCCCTCTAGACCCTTCACCATCCCTGTAGCTCTCCTTTGGAATAGGTGGCTCGTTGGGAGACTGGGGATTGTCCAAAGTTTTGGTCTGTCACTAGTGGGAATGCTGTATGTGCCACCTGGAACTCTGGTAGACTCCTCAGGTAGACGAGTGAGCAAATGTGGCTGATGGTGATACCTACAGGTTTTGTCAGCCCCCCACAAGTTTATCTTCCCCAATTTCACAATTTAGCCTTATGAACATGGTGTCACCTGGTTGGTGGTGTGGAGGACCTGGAGCTTTATTCCCAAACCAGGCACTGGCGTGCAAAGTGGCCTCAGCCAAGTCACTTCCCTGCTTTGTGCTTCATTCCCCCAGCTGCAAAATGGGGCTGATAACCAGCCTGGCCGATGACAAGTGTGAAAGGAGAGATAAGCCTTCTCCTTTGATGTTTGTCAGGGTGCTGACCTAGATCTGCACAGTCAAACTGCATGTAAGCTGCAGAAGTGTAGCTCCACAGGACAGCATCTGTGCAGATTCAGGCTGGCTGGCAAGTCACTGCCATCCACGAGGGTTACAAGCATCAGTGTAAGGCAAACAGACTGGCTGATGCTCCCTATTTAAAAGGGAAGACGTGTGGTTTGTCAGGCTCGAATTCCCTGGCAGGATAAAAGGAAATTTGTAAGGTTCAAAGCTGTTGGTGGTAGTGTGTGGCTTGAGTGACGTTCATCGCAGGGTTGTAGTGGATATGTAATATTTGGATATAGATATGTAATATTTGGATATAGATATGTAATATTTGGATATAGATATGTAATGTTTGGATATGGATATATAATATACGTCTTAAATCCAATACACTTTCAAATCCCGTGTCCTTAAATCCTGTAAGGTCCTGTGTTCCTGTGGAGCAGCTGGATTCCTGCCCTGGCTCAGCTCAGAACAAATTGTGTCTGCATTGGGTTGTTACAGACTTTTCACTCATTTGACTTCATCTCTGGGCTTTTCCCCTTCTTCCTTCTCTGTCCCAGGTGAAGAGAACTCCTCCCTTGCCCCCTACATAGGGACAGGGGACTTTATAAGGGTCTTTCCTGTGGATCCTGTGGCTCCAAGGGCACTGGCAGCAGCGCTGCTGCTGTGTCTGTGCTGTGCTGGCCAGTCCCCTCATTGCTGACATCCAACTTCTCCAGGAGCGGGATGAAATCCAAGTGGCAGGGCAGGCACCTCTGAGGAGATAGCTCCTAACTGTTCCCACAGAGCTTGAAGAAAAAGATTTGACGGATTTACAGAGGAAAATGGCTGAGAAGGGATTGATAAACACACAGAGAGATCTAACTAGTGTGTCCCATCACTCTGAATAGCCGATCATAGCAAAAGTGCTTCGGGGCAGTGTCGGGAAGGATTTGTTGATGTGAACTCGTGTCTCCCTGAGAGAATCATGCTGTTTCGGGGAAGGGACCATCCAGGGAAGGTTGTCGTGAAGAAAAATGCAACAACAGCGGGGTGGGCATGTGTGTCAGGAGGAGCTGGCGAGATGCTCACCAGTGCTTTCTGAAGGCAGGGCTGTGAGGATGCCAGCCAGGACTTGATAGCTGAGCTTCCTCACAGCAACACCGAGGAAAACCTCATTTCCTCAGTGCAGGCATTTGCCACAGTTAAGCCCTCAGTGCCAGCTGGGAGCCCAGGCATGAGGAATTCTGCGCTGCAGTTGGGAATTTCCTGTAGCTCCCGTGCTTAGGGCTACCCTAAGGCAGCTCTCTGCACAGCAGGCAGCAGTGTGAGCAGGCTTAACTTCACATTCCTGGTGCAATCTACTTCCTACAGTCCCTTCAGTGACAGGAGAGGAGAGAAAACATGGCTTCTTCAGTGACCTCTTCAAAGGTCAGCCTGCTGCTGGAAGTAGGAAGAAAAGTTTGACCAACTCTTGCTCGAAGATCTCGGGGTAACATCCATTGCTAGGTATTAATAATTTAAGGAGGATCCTGTGTCACAAACACCTGCTGTGTGGACACACGATGGGCTCAATGAGGGCTCAGTTTGTAGTCAGTGTGAGCATCTGAGTGGGAGATGTATGGGGTGTACCCTGCCAAAGTACCCAAATGTGCAGTAAATGTTCCCTAAAATTCTCCTTTGGCTTGTTACAGCTCACATAAACCATTGGATGCAGCACTAGGGAAGGTGGTTTTTTTGCTAGAATTGGGCCAGGAGGAGAATTTTGACCAAAATGATTTTGTGAATTCTTGCCTTTTGTGGAAAACACCACTGCCACGGGAATTGTGTCATTTTTTAATACTGACTTTCGTTTCACCTGGATTGAGATATTTTCTTGGGCTGAAAATATATTTTCCCAGCAGGGTGCAATCTTTAAAGGGATGTTTCAAAGATTTTTATTAGCAGATATCATGTGTTTATTGATCCTTTAAAATATTTTACCTTTTGCATTCAACTATTCTGCATGAAAGACATCATCAGAGTTAATAATTTCTGGTTGTTAGCGAGGGAAAGGATCCAAAGTTGCCGTGTTGGTGGAAGCACCCAGACAAATATTTATACCCTGCTTTGAATCTCAAAACCAGGAAATTCAAAGTGCAAGAGAAAATAAGAGATACCAAGGCTCTGAAACTTTCAGAGGTGTGAATATTTTATTGTTTGCTTTATTAGGAGCGAGGCATCCAGCTCTTGGAAAGCTGAGTTTAGCTGAACACAGGATTGTCAGGGATATTTGTGTGCCTCAAAGAAATGTTCTAATTGTCTAACAAACTCCAAAACAGGATGGCAGGTGGGGTGGCCACTGCATCCCTTCCCCTGGGAAGGCTGAGGTGAGCCAGCCCTTTGTCAGGGTGTTTTCCAGAGCTTTTGTAAACAAGATGTGTGTGTGTGTGTGTGTCTCTTACACTCCAAGCAAGGCTACACAAGCTGAGCTGAGCCACAGCAGCTCTGTGAAGGCTGGGTATGCACACTCAAGGGCCTGAGTTGATTTATCTTGATGTTTGGTTGAATTCTTCGCATTTTGGGTCCCTTCTGTAACCTTTTCACCTCGTTCTTTTTTGAGGTGGCTGCCTGGCTGTTACAATTTATCATGAACGCATCTCACTTCACTTCTGGCTCCTCTGACGGAAGGAACAGCCGGTCTCCGGGAGGTCAAAGACATTATTTTCCCCTCATCTTTCTCAGTTTCCAGCACATATTTGTCACTTTGAAAAAGCATGAACTCTGGATTTGATGCACTTTAATTGATTTCACCCTCAACAAGTCCAACTGTCCATCAACCTTTCCTTCTTCTTTCCTCCCCTTCATTTCTTTCCTCTGTCCCTTTACTTTGGGAGGGATGTTTTCACCCGCCTGCATGTTAAGCTGTTGCAAAGCCCATGACCCTATCAAGGTTTAGTGTCACTAGCCATTTCTCTCATTTTCCTTGTCCTCCAAGTTGAACTTTGGATGCTGAGCGAGAATGAATCCGCCTTGTAGGAGGACTGGTCTTGTGGTATCTTAGTGTTGTGCCCCTTGTCAAAGTAAAAGGGATGGCTGATAGCAAAACGTGGTTGATGGTCCACTTATTTTGAGACAGCTGTGTAGAATTAGACCTGCAAGAGAATTAATAATTAGTTCTTGATATACAGGCCTTGGTATTTAAAATAATTTGCAATAGGGTGGCAGAGGTGAATGTGCTGTTTCTTCTTTCCTCCTGGAAGGATGTGCATTCCCAGTGGTGTAGGTACATCCAGTGTTGTGTAGTTGTGAGTTCAGTGTGTAAAATGGCATTGGCGCCTCGTAAAATGAGGTCACAGAATCATAGAATATCCTGAGTTGGAAGGAACCCACAAGGTTATGAGGTTCAGTTCCTGGCTCTGCACAGGGCCATCCCAAAAATCATATGAGATGCCATCACACTCTGGCTTATTTGGTGAATTCTTCTGGCATAAGTGGAGTTAGGGAGTAAATTGGATATATGGGTGGATAACAACTTGCCCTTTTCACAGGAATCCTTTAAGTGTGTCCTGGAAGCCAGGGGCTGGTTACAGTGGAGGCTGAGAGGATAATAATATTTCATTACATCTTGGTTGTTATCAGGACCTGGGCTGGGAAAGAGGCTTCTATTTACAGCAGAGCAGGGAGATTTCAAGCTCTGTGTGCTGTTCTGTGGTGTTCACCAGGACTCAGCACAGAGAAGGGTGTTCTTTGGGCTGATGTGCTCTTCCAAGAGCTCCAGCACTCAGAGTGAGCAGAACCGGCTCACGATGCTTTACGTGAGGGTTTTCGAGGTGTAGCCCAGGGTGACTAAGAAGCGCAAAGCTCCTGCCGGGGTGTGCTCGGTGTTTGTGAGCGCAGCGAGCCGGGCGAGTGGGAACTGCTGTCCATGGTCCTGCGTGTCGGGGCCGCAGCGCTGGGGCTCGAGTAGGGGGTGGTTCGGGCTGGGGGCTTGGAGAAGGTGCAGATCCCTCCCTCCCTCCCTCTCTTCCTGTGCCAAACGGTGTCAGCCGGGTCAGTGTTTGCCGGCGTGTGTGACGAGGGAACTGAGTGTTCTTTGAGGGGTTATAAAGGGCTTCCACCAGCACTCGTGGACCTTGTGCTGATCCTTTGCTTTCTTTAAACTTGCAGAGGGTGGGTTTAGGTTAAATATTAGGATGAAATTGTTCCCTGTGAGGGTGGTCAGGCCCTGGCACAGGTTGCCCAGAGAAGCTGTGGCTTCCCCTGGATCCCTGGAAGTGTCCAAGACCAGGTTGGACGGGGCTTGGAGCAGCCTGGGCTAGTGGAAGGTGTCCCTGCCCATGGCAGGGGAACACAGGGATCAGAATAAAATGTTATTAATATGACATTAGGATGTTTCAAAGGACATACAACGATTTAATTTCTTTTTCTAAGGGGGTACTATCCATTCCAGTTAAGTTCAGTGCTATGGGGGAAGGGGGGGGGAAATTTGATAAGCTCTGAAAGGAGTCCATGAAGCTACTCCAGGCACTGCACTGAATAGGAAGAAAGATAAGCTGGTGAAAAGGTGAACTGATGGCTTACTGCCTTCTGAAGAGTCTTTTCCATGGCTTTTGTCTCCAGCTTAGAGTTCCAAGAGATGCTGATGTGACAGGTTTCACACATGTTGGAAAATCAGAGTTTGAGGATTTGTCTGACAGTCTCTATTTAAAAAGGAAAAAAATACTTTCTATCTCTGCAAGAGCTCCTCTAGGAGTGGTTCTACTGAAGAAGAAACTGGAGACCTTTCTCCTCCCCTATAAAGTAATCAATGTAACTCTGATTAGAAAGGTTCAGGGAGGAAATTGAGACGTTTTCAGGTCACTGGACTACAACATGCTTATCTCTCCTCTACCAGATACTGGCTGAGTACAGAGTTGGGCTCAGAAAGTGGGGAGAGCTGACCCATGGCAAGCTTTTCACACTTCATGTGGGGCAACATCAGCAAGGTTTTAATGTGGGGGGTTTTATGTGCTGGGTAGGTGGGTTCTCTTGGGAAGGGGCAGGGAAGGACTATCATTTACTGGAAACGAGAATTCAGAATTTTGTAGAATCGCACCAGTGATCAAGGTTTCCACTTGTTTCTTCAATACAGGCTGCCCAGGGAGGTGGTGGAGTCACCATCTCTGGAGGGATTTAAAAGATGTGTGGATGTGGCACTTGGGGACATGGGTTAGTGGTGGCAGTGCTGGAGGATGGTTGGACTCGATCTTAGAGGGCTTTTCCAATCGAAACAATTCTGGATTCTGTCAGGAATTGTACTAACTGAGGAAACTACTGTGTTAAGGTAACTTGGCATGGCAGTACTGGAGTTGGCAATACCATGGACCCAGTCTTCCCATCCCTGGGATGTAAGTTAGGAAAGCAGGAAACACCAGCACTCCACCAGGGCTGCTTACAGAAGCATTCAAACAGTCCCAGGATTATGGGAATATTCAGCTAATGCTGGAATCATTTTAAGATGTGGGCTCAGGTTTGATGCTTTAGATGAAGATCATCCTTAAAACTCAGTCCAGTCAGTGTTCAGAGCATCCAGCCCTAAGAATCCCTTTGATCTCTAAGAACCCTTTGCTGGAGGCCTGAGATTTTAAGCAGCTTCTGTGTTCCCTTCCACTGTATCCCACGGACCTGAAGCAGCACTTGCTCCTGAGCAGCTCCACATCCATGAGCAGACACACCTTCCTCTCCCCAGCCCAAATCCAGGAGATAATGGGATGTGAATTCATCCAGGAGTGGCTCCAGGGGAGGCTGCACAAGCCATGATTTGGCAAAGCTGTGCAAGTATTTCAGAACACCTATTTTAATAGATAGTCAAATGAGGAGAGGGAGACAGAGCTCCTGCAAAGGCAGTGCAGAGCAATTGCATTAGGCTGTTGATAATTTCAGTTTGAATTCCCCTCTGAAATCTTCTCTTGGGAGTCTTAGTTCTTAAGTTAAATGACTAATTAGAGCTTGTTCACACCACAGATCAGCCCAGCAAGGCAAACTTCTAAGAGCTAATGCTGCTTACTTACTCCCAGAGGAAGCTGAAGGTCTCAGGAGCTTGCAGAGGAATTTTCCTCCTGGAAATCTGTGTCTGCTACCAGGACATCAGATAATTTAGGTGGGAGGGAAGCAAAGAAAAATCCTCCCTCACCAGACAGGCCCTCTCTCAAGCCAGTTTCTTTGCCTTGCTCTTTCTCTGCTTCAACATCTTGTTTAGTAGGAGGAAAAATGTGAAACTAAGTGCCCCAAGCTGAGAGATGCTGGGCACCCAGCAGGACCCTGACCTTCCTTGTAGGTGACAAATTGGATGGCATGTAGGCTGAGGAGGGAGGGAGGGGGATGGCTTGCAGGGGGGTTAAAGTTACAAAGCCAACATCTGTTCCTGAGGGTATGTACAGGCTGCAGTGCTCTGCCATTCCCTTTGGGAAGGCACGGGGGAATGGCCCTGGGGTCACCAGAGGACAAAGGCAGGAATGGGTGCAGTGGGTGGCTCTGAGTGGATACAGAATGGGTATAAATACACAAAATAGATCCTGAGGGGTTGGTTGCAGAGGGGTGGAAGGTGGAGAATGAGTCTTAAGAAGAAGGAAGGATGCGTTCATCTGCGAGGTACAAAAATTTGGGCCTGGTTTTCTTATCTCAGGGCCCCCACAGGAATTAGTCATCTCTGAGTAATGGAGGGCAGCAAAGCTGTTTTTCATCTCTTCCAGTTACCAGAAGTCCCTCCTCTGATCATCTCCTACATTCATATCCTCTTCTATCTGTCTCTGACTTGGATCTTCCTTGTTATTTAGCACCGTGAGCCCCTGCAAAAAAATATCAGGTAGGACTGGCAGTCTGGATTCATCTGGAGAGATGCTGTTGTGCCCCAGCTTCCATGGAGGAACAAGAGAGCCTGGGCAAGGCATCTCTCCTGCATTCAGCTGTGATTTTGCCCCAAATGCCTTCTGTCATCTCAGCAGACCCCGTCCTTTTTGCTTTAATTGATTCTGCCTGGCTTTAGTCTGATGTGAGAATGGACCTCCCACCACGAGCACTGGGGTTGTGCACGGGGAGCTGGAGGTTGGGTGTGGCTGAGAGAGGTGCAGGGTGGTTTTGTTGTAACAGGGAGACAAGGATGTGTTGGGAAAGACACTGTAAACCCACAATCGAAGTGAGGCCTTTCACTCCCATACTGGGTTTGTGGGAAGTGCCTGTATAACAAGTGGAAAGCAAAATGCTGGAATAATAACTTCTCATTATAGCTGTGTGTAGGGTTTCCTGAAGCCATCCACAGCCCTGTTGGGTTGGCTCCATGCAGGAGTGGGAGACAGTCCAGGAGACCTGGCCATTCCCTGGGGATCCAGGGGAGAAAGGAGAAGGGAATGGCTTTGGCTTTGCTCACCTAACTGTGGGATGGTAGAGATGAGAATAAATAGGGAAGTTGAAAAGGAAACCTCCATTGTGAGTCTGGTCAGACAAAGTCTAAACAGTTGTTGCGTTTGTTTTATCAAATCAAAATATTTTGGTTCAGTGGTGTGTTGGATTGAGTCAGTGTGTCTGGGCTGACACAGTGTTGGAGAAACACTCTGGTTTGAGGGGGTTGTATCCCTGTCCCTGGGGGATCAGGAGCTCTACTGTCTCCCCCAAGCTATAGGAGAGGGGAGCAAGGGGAGGCTGGATGAGAGCAGTCCCCTTCCCATGGCTTGGGTTTAGAGTTTTCAGAGTTTCCAGCCTCTTCACAGCTGCTCTGCAGCCCTGCTCGGTCTGATTAAGTGTTCTGCTGCTTGGACCACAAAGAAGGGTTTTAAGTGGAATGGTAACATTTTTGAGGGAAAATAGATGAATAAGTATTCAGAGTTAATTATCTGCAAAACCCTGAAATGGCATGAGTAATAAAATATAGATAGGAACACACTTATTCTTATGATGCCATTAGTGGTCTGTGCTTCTGTGGCAGATGGTGGTGTGCTGTTAAATGTTGCCATGCATAAGAGTAAGAAGATACTCCAAAATGCAAAATTATTGCCTGCCATCAGTGAAGGCTCAGGTCTTTGAGAGCATGATCTGGTTGAGATGTTCTTCTAAAAGTATCTTGCCCAAAAACATGGTAGTGAGGACCTAAGAGCAAAACAAGTAAAGCAGTTGAGGTTAGGCTGGAATAGATCTCGTGTAGCTCCCGACCTCTCCCACATCTCTCCCAGGCACAATTCCCAGTGAGACCTCATTATTCTTCTAAAAACTACTTTGTTCCTATCTAGTAGTTTTGTTCAGGATTTCATAGAAGCCGTAAAAAATAATACCGTGTAGTTGCTTTTGTTGAAATATTTCCTCCTTTCCTTCCTTGCCCCAGAAATTTTCTTTTTTTTTTTTGACTTATTTTTCAGCCATTCCACCTGACCCTTCAATATTTCCATATTTCAAGGAGATTTAGCCAAATGGTGTGTTTCCATGGCTGATACGCAGCAATAGTGCAGGGTTAATACCTAATTAGTTCCCAGGGACATTGAGCTTTTCACGGATATTCAGTAACAAAAGCGACAACAAACAAGCTGAATTCCTAGGTCTTAATTCATCGAGGAAATAGGAACCTAAAAATGCAGGAATTATTCAGCGCGGTATGAAAGCTCCGTTCTTTCCCTCACGAAGCCCAGAGGATGCTATAGTAGCTGACAGGGGAAATATAACCTCCTCCTCCTCCTTCCCTCCCTCCCTCCCTCCAGGGGGGCTGTATATGTGTCTGAGTTTGCAGCCCTGACATCTCCCAACAGGAAAATTCCCAGTTCTGCAGCTCACTTTAAACAGCTCCTCGCAGATTCCCCTCCCTGCCTCAACCCCCCAGTCAGGCTGACCCTGGGTTTTTTTTTTCCTGACATCCAGCCATACCTGATCAGTTGTATCCTGAGCAGCTGGATGTGATCAGAGCTGGCCTTCCACCTCCCAGGATGGCGAGCATATGGGCCCGCGGGCTCCAGCCATTATGTTCCTGAGCACTGAGCTTGTCTGCCTGTGGCTACACAGGGGTTTTTCCCCCCCTCCCTCCTCTCAAACAATCGCAAATAAACCTTTCTGATAAGTAACAGCAAAAACAAACAGGCCCTTTGGCTCTGCAGGCAGTGAGAAGGAGGGAGGAATGAAAACCCGGCCCAATAACAAAATCTTTGCCGTGTTTAGGCAGCACAGGCAGGGTTGCCTCCAGGAGGGAGGAACTGTCTGCCCTCAGCCAGACAGAGCTTTTCTGGGAGCAGGAATGGCTCCTTTCAGGGTGATGAGCCCTCAGTGCTTTACAGTCAGGCCCTGGTGTGGGAGCTCCAGGGGATGGAGGAGGTTTGACTCTGAGAACAGCCCTGGAGATCACCCAGACCAAAAAAGTGAGGATTTGAGCTGACCAGTGTGGGCAGTCTGGTATCAGCCTGGAAGTCACAGAGGGTTGAAGGTTGAGAATGGCTGTAGTGAGGATACTCAGCCTTAGCCCCTGGCAGAAAGGGAAGAGCAGGAGGCTGGTACAGTGCAAGAGTTCAAGGCAGTTGTGGGAAGAGGCTGTGGTCAATCCCAAACAGCCTCTTTGTGTCCTTTCCCATTGCCAGAAAGTGTCTTGGCTTCTGGAAGGGGTCACAGGAGGCCTCTGGCACTTTGCACTGTGTTTGCCAAGGGGAGCATAACCAAAGCAAATCTCCCTGTCTTGGGGGTTCACTGTGATGCTTGGAGAACTGAAGAGGGGTCCCTGAGCCCCTTCCCCCACCTTAGTGTGTCCTGGGCTCTGATCACTGTGTAAAACTTGAGGCAACCAAGAGATTTTTGCAAAGAATGTGTGACAGAAATGGTAGGTCTTACCTTCCTTGTATTTTGCTTTGCTCTGTGCCAAGGAAATAAGGCTTCAGCCTTCCCAGACAGTCCTGACTTCTCAAAACTACGTAGCCGAGCGGTCAGAGGTGTACACCAGGGCGTCCAGATTGGACCTTGCATGTCTTAAAATCATGGTCTAGGCCTAAGGGTGGGAAAAAGACCCCTCACTTTGCCCTCTGAACCCCATCAATGCAACACAGAGGCCATTGCTGCCCTGTGTGTTGAACACACCTGGGCCACAAGAAACCTGTAGCTGTGCAAAGTGGGGGGGAAAAGCTTGTTCTGAGGTGTTCAAGAAACATGGTGAACTCAAAAGCTGCCTGGTAACACAACACCTTTTAGACCAGGAACCTGCATTCTGGGTAGATGTATTGAGGGGTTGAGCCTCCCAAGTGCTCTCCCAGCTGGTGGTTAACCTCATTCCCTCAGTCAGTAAATGATGGACTTTTTCAACTTGGAAGCCAGACCCATGAGGAGCCTTAGAAACCTTTGCCTGGGCAGATATGGCCAAGGTTACCATCCCAGCACGTCCCCACTGAACTTGTCTTGAAAGGCTGCCAGAGCCTGCAGCACGCCCATGCTGAAAGGCTGGAACCACATGAAGGGGCCCTGTGGCCCTGTCATCTCCTTCTGCTCCTGGTGACAGGAGCCCGAGCACTGATGTCACCACACAGTCACAGCACATGGCACCACGTACAGGTTGTGTTGCTGCTGGTGTGTCTTCTCTGAGGTCTTCAGTGGGAGTTACTCCTACACACCGATGGAGTTCTGTGTCCCTAAAAGCTTGAACTGTGGAGAGGAGCAGCAAATCCCTCTGGGAATTTCATTCAGAGAGGGGAGAATGAGAGCCTAAGCCATGGGATCAGCACCAACTGGGCCAAACATCGCTGTTGGTTACAGCCCAAGCAGCTCAGTTGAAACAAACAGCATTAATTGTAGATTTATGCCAGCCTTTCTGAGAGTCACTCCCGGGGCAGAGTCACTTCTGGTAGAGGATTAATCTCGCTGGAAAACTCCCTCTTGTTCTTTGCCTGGTCCCTGACACTTGCACATGCACACAAACCAACCCCGGTGACCCCCCGACAACCCAGTCAGCTCACAGGGAAGGAAAGGATGTGAAATCCAAGCTGCCCCTCCAGCACAGCCCTGCATCTGCCACAGCCCTTTCGGAAGGCAGGACCAACCACCTGCTAGTTGTTTTGCTCGGAGAGAAAATGTCTATTGGACACATAGGAAACAACTAATCCGGTCCCCCGGGAGGGACTGGCCATTTGTCATTCCCACAGTCTCAGCACAGGTACTCAGCACCTCCCAGGGCTGGGGCACTGTGGCTTTTCTCTGGTTGTTTTTCCACTTTGCAGTAGTTTTGTGTTTGGGTTTATCTAACTGTAGCATTTCTCAGCATTTACACTTGGTCATCCATGTCAGGACAGTGAAAAATACAGTGTGCCATGTTCCCACACACGCACCCCTTCTCAGCTTAAAAATTAATGGAGGAAGACATGATTGCATGTGCTGGATGTATGTCTCCTTTCCATGTGCACACAAACTTTCTGATGGGGCATTTGTGCAATTTAAGATTTCCAGAAATGGGAATCTTCTCTAGTTCTCACTTGTGTCTCTCTGTGCCTAAAGAATGGTCAGTGGCATCCTCTCTCCACACTTCCATGATGTCATTGCACTCCATGTGGCACAGGAGTGTGATTTTACTTTTTTGACCCAGATTTTCCAGTGGAAGTGCTACAGATGCTCCCCTGGAGTCTCAACAGCAGAAGGGATACTTTAGTGGTCTGGAGCAGCAGGCTAGGAATGCCTCCATTCCTCAGGAGCAGCAGGCTCAGCTCCACAGGCTGCTCGGCCATTCCCCTTTCCGAGGGCAATAAATTGAATACCATTCCATTTACTGCCTGCCCACAAGTTTCAAGTGAAAGAGGTAGGAGGGGGAAAAAACCAACCCCGAGGCCAGTTAGTCCATGGGTGCAAATCAGTGTGGCTGTGCTGGCTTACACCAGCTGTGGGGCTGGCCCCGAGGTTTTGTGTTCCCATTATCCTGGGGCTCATATTGCAGGAATGCAGGGTTGGCCAGATGTGCTGGCCACAGGATCCCCTCCCCTCCCTAAGTGACAGGGTACCAGCTGCCACTCCCTGCCCTTGGAGCAGCCTGCCTGCAGCATGGAAGGTGCCGTGGGATCCTTGGGAATGGCCACCAGCACATCAACGCCAGCCCAGTTCCACGACACGACTCCGAGTGAGAGCAGTCGAGGAACTTTTTCCCCCTTTGGAAGTGATGTTCATCTCCTCCCCCCAACCCAGCATATGGAATTCTGGATCACATTTCTCTCTCTTGCCAATAAATATTGCAGATTTATTGCTCTCTACCTGGTGGGCAGTAAATTGCATTCCACCTCTGTTATAAGGCTCTTTGCTATGACACAGCCTTGCAGCTCCATTAAACCTTAATTACAGCAACACTTCATTGGGTCGCTGCGATGGCCCGAGCGCCATTGCAGTAAGGGAGGATGTTATGGCCAAAACAGGCTGATGCAGAGGGGCTTTGTTTTGTTTTCTTTCCTCCCTTTTTAAGGATTATGGAGAGCTGAGCCCAGCAAGGGGAATAGATGGAGCCTGAGCCTCCTGCTCTCTGCTCATTTTCCACGACAGCTGGCCTCACCTGCCGCAGCCCCGGCAGCTCCTCTGCGCCCTGATGAAGTGCTCAGCAAACAGTGCTCCAAGTTGCCTCTATTAAATGCCTTATTTGTGTTTGTGCTGATGAGTTGCATCCTAGGTGGAGTTGTCCCGGGGTTTGATTGCATGAGGAGAGCAGGGTTTGGCCAAACAGAACACCGGGAGCAAAACGGCGCTCGGGTTTCTATGGACTGTAGCGAGACAAATCTGAGAGCAGCCTCACGGCTGTGCAGGCTCCTCCTGCAGCGGGCAGATTGCTCTGTGTCAGCTCAAGGCACTGTTTCTGGTGCCATCTGTCCTTCCCTGCAGCCTGTGACAAGGAATGAGGCTTTGCAAGTGCTGGCTGCTGCCACGGCTCCTCAGAGGCCAGTGTCTCCTGATGTTTTCCCCAGGCTCCTCTGACCCTGCTGCCTGAGGCCACAGGGAAGGCTGGGAGAGGGTGCAGGGCTCGGTGCCTCTTGACACTGGATGTGTGGATAGATGGTTCTCATTTCCCCTCTCCAGCCAGTCGTGGAGGAAGCACAGCTTGGAGCTCCAGGAGAGGCTGTCCAGTGCCTGTACTCCCTCCAGACTGTTCTACTTGGCCTTCTGGCTTTTGTTCTGGAGATCATTCTAGGTCTAGGATGAGTCCCCCAGCCCCTCAGGCAGGTTCAGTACGAGTGTGCATTGTGCAGACACCTCTCCTCAGATGGATGCTCAGACCTTTCTGCGGGATGATGAGCAAACCAGAAGGCTCTAATGGCTGCGCCAGCCACTTGGATGCGGGGCAGGGTTCCAGAGGTGAGCACTGAGTCGGCAGATCTGCCCAGGAGAAGGACTGTTTTGTTCCCAGTTCGGAAATTATTTGCCTCCCTGGCCGTACTGGTGTGATACCAAGTGTCAGATGTGGTGTAACTCTGACAGGAACTGGGACTGCTGGGATTATCCTCAGGATTCTCTTCTCCCACTCGTCAGTGCTGATTGTGACTGCTGTGGTCACTTTGTGTAATGCTCATCATCCTTGTAAGTCTGCTTGTACGAATAAGGATGTTCATTTGACTGCATTTTACCACATCTATAACTTTATCTGGTCAAACATCCTTCAGATATCCACAGGGAATTGTAGAGAGGCAGCACAGAAAACGACACCGCTGCTAGTGCAGAAAGCAGCTACCAGAAAGCAACTAAAATCTTTCTACCAATTCAGTTGCTGAACTCTTTAACAAATAACCAACACATGGGAAATACTTGCCTTTGGGGAGCCTATGTCAGAGCCTTGTTTGTCCTTACTCTCCCCTCTTGCAGCAACCTTGAGATGTCAGACGTAGGAAATGCGGCCACAGCTGTTTATGCACTTAGAGGGTTTTTTCTAAGGCCACATCCTTCTATTCTCCCCTAGATTGCTTGAAAAGACGCTGCAGGGACTCCAGAACGCCAAGGTCCATGTGCCACGTGCAGGTGTTGCCAGGAGATTGACATTCTGAGCATTTGAAAACTATCAGAGAACTAATTTGGTGGTGGTTTGTGTTTGTTTTTTTTTCCTCTCCTCCTTCCTTCCCTCTCGA